TATATTGTGTGTTTTTATATTTCAATAAAATTATTTATAATTTTTGAATATTATGAATTATAATTTCTATGACGATTATGTTTTGAATTAACTAATTAGCGATTAGTAATTAACCTACAACTTAATTCTTACTGTAATTACTGTAATGTAAAATTATGTATATCTGTGTAAATATTAACTCAAAATGTTACCTGGGCAACATGAAAAAATAGAAATAAAGTTTTTATAAACAAGATTAAAATATTTGTCATCCTTATTTTTGTTTGAAAATAAATTACTGTTATTTGGTATGACTGATAAATTGTTGAATAATTTTAATTTATAATATAACGCATCTTATTATAGTGTTTAATATTAGACAATAATTCATAATTAATGAATATATAAATTATTTAATTAAAAGTAATGAATTAATTTTCTAATATATTTTAAATATAATTACAATTCTATAAAAATTAATTCAAATAAATAACATATTTGACAATTAAACACATGTGAATTAATTGCGAAATCATTGAATCTAATTAAAATTAATATATTTACAATGGATAAAATAGTTGTAATTATTATATTATTTATTGCATTATCTGATCAAAATGTTGAACCAGATCAATTTGTACCACATCCAGTTTACAAAAAATATAACAATAGGTATAAATTATAATATGTATGTAAAATTAAATAATTTCCTGCTTTATAAGATGTTTAATTTAACAAAATTTAATTATTATTTAAATAGTTTGTTAGACATTGTGCTAAATTTCTAAAATACCAATTGTTTAGTGAATATATAGATTCAAACGGTATGGACGCGACTGTATTCCGAGCGGCCGCCCGACAAATCGCTGACTATATTGTAGATTATATCGAGAATATTCGTGAAAGACCTGTATTTCCGTCAGTAAAACCCGGATATATCAAGCAATACATACCCTCAACAGCCCCTCAGAATGGGGAGCCATGGAGTGCTATATTCGCTGATATCGACAGAGTTATAATGCCAGGAGTGAGTCTATTAATAGATTATTTGCTAATTTAACTATAATAGATCACCCACTTTGTTTGTGTTTTTTAAATAATACATTACATTTTTACTTAATTGATTAAATAGATAACACACTGGCAGTCACCAAACTTTCACGCATACTTCATGACAGCCCAGTCCTATCCATCGGTTATTGCGGATATGCTGTCAAGTGGTTTGGGTGTCCTGGGATTTTCATGGGTTAGCTCAAACACACGGCCACTTAGTTAGCAATTTAATGTGTATATTATTCCTGATATAACTCAACTAAACTGACATTTATTGATTATATAAATTCCAGATCGCGAGCCCCGCGTGTACTGAACTGGAGATGCAAATGATGGACTGGTTGGCCAAAATGCTAACACTGCCCAACCATTTCATGTTTAGCAACGGCGGCAAAGGGGGCGGTGTTATAATGAACAGTGCGAGTGAGGCAACCCTTATCACACTATTGGGCGCTAGAAGTAAAGTATTGGCCGAACATGGTAATGATAAAACGTTGATAACTAAATTAGTGGCCTATGCCTCGGATCAGTCGCACTCCAGTGTCGAGAGGGCCGCACTGTTAGGCGCCGTTCAGATGAAACTATTGCCGACCATAGCCTCAGACAATCATAGCCTTAGAGGAGATGTTTTGAGGGAACAGATTAAGAAAGACAGAGCTAATGGATTGATACCATTCTTCGTTGTGGCAACGCTGGGCACCACTGGTATATTGGCATTCGATAACATTACAGAAGTGGGCAAAGTTTGTAAGTGTTTACAAATTATTATTTATTAACTTTTCATTAGATATATTGTAATTTTGTAAATAAATTACACTTATATAAGGCTCTGAAGAGAATGTATGGCTACATATAGACGCCGCGTACGCCGGGTCTGCATATATTTGCCCCGAATTTAGGCATCATTTAAACGGAATTGAAGTTAGTTTTGCTCTTTCATTACAACTGTTATAAAACTTAAATATTATTATAACTATAAGTTGTATTAACAGTACGTCTCATCATTCAATATGAATCCCTATAAATGGCTATTAATAAGTTTTGACTGTTCAGCACTTTGGTTAGTATTTGTTTGGTATATGCAAGTTTACACAATTTTATATTATAATATATTATTTTAAATTAAAAATCTAAAAATATTATATTTGATAATTATTCTAATTTATTGCAAAATAATTTATAAAACATTATATTAAAGGCTCAAAAACAGGGATTATATTGTGGACGCGTTTAATGTAAATCCCGTATATTTACAACACATTCACCAAGGACATATGCCAGATTTCAGGGTTAGTAAACTATTTGAAAGATTTATTTAATTATCATTCGTTTACATAGATTTTTTTAGTTCCCAGATGAGCATTTCACATATACCTATGCAAATATATACTGTACAATGCAATGGCAATACTTTATAAAAATTTATACATAGGGGCAGACTGTTCCCCGAATATGTGTGTACAGTATATATTTGCATAGGTATATGTGAAACCCTCATCTGGGAACTAAAAAATCTATGTTCGTTTATACGAAAAGTAATAATTTTTATTTATCTGAGGACCGAAAAATAAAATTATCAAAAAAGTCGAATAAATAATGATTTGAATTAAAATCCCAATCATTTAAATGTTAGATTAAATCATGATAATTGTGTCCGACAATATTGCATACCTTGATATACTATACATAAAACATGCAGAATATACATGTACTTTAGGGTACAGCATAATAGATAATAGAAGTGACAGTTACTAGTTATAATTATTGATAGTTATATAAAGTTTATTTCACAATAATAATAAATTATATATTTATTATTAGGGTTTACAATTTTCAGTAATTCCCAAATAAAATTAATAAATAAAACATCGGAAATTACATAACATGAGCTTTAGTGTTCACAATATAAAATCAAACAAATATTTAATTCAGTTTCATATGAGAAATTGCCCTAATAGAAGTTGGACTGTAATATTAATTTACTTAAACTAAACAAAACTATATTCATTGCAAAGGACTGGCAAATATCCCTGGCAAGTCCATTCCGTTCACTCAAAATGTGGTTTGTTTTCAGAAGTTATGGCATAAAAGGGCTGCAAAATCATATCAGAAAAGTATACATAAAACCAACTCATAAAAACACAATTGAAAGTGAATTAAACAAATGGTCTAATTATTAAAATAACAACGTTTTTGTGCTTAATATATATGAACCAACTACTAGCAAGTGGGTTTAGCTAAATATTTCCAGTCATTGTTGCTTAAAGACGATCGCTTTGAGTTGTCGGCACCGGTAGAGATGAATTTGGTTTGCTTTCGACTAAAGGTATGCCTCATTACCGGTCGTTTGAAAGGCTAACCATTTGTCAATGCGTTGGTCATTAAATATTATAAAAATTAATATTAAGTCTAAATGTGTGCTTCGGTTTGTAGGGAACGGATGCCTTGAACGAGAAGTTTGTGAAACTTATAAATGACGGCAAAGCTATTCATTTGACACCGACTCGAGTCGGCGGACAGTTTATCATACGGTTTATGGTCAGCGCCCGGACTATAGAGGTTAGGGATATCGACTTCGCGTGGAATGAGTTCCAGAGACAGGCGCTCATCGCTCTAACCCTATGAACTCAATACTTATCGTTGCCATACATTTGATGTTTTAAATATCTCTTTATTTTTTGTCGGATAAGATAAACTTATAAGAAACTGTACAAAAATTGTCCTAGCAAAGTAAATTTAAATGTTTCGAAAAATATTTGATCTAGATATCCAATTAATGTATCAAAATAATTGTCACCTAAAAATATTTGCACTAAATAATACTTGATATTAATTAAAACAATATTAATTGTCAAAAAATTATTAACATTTTAGAGGTAAAGAACTGACTTTATAATGCAAGAACTGACACAGCGGATAAACTTTCCGGTAAATATACTAATTAATTAAAATAAATAATATATTTCAAAGGCAAACACATATGGTATTTCAAAATCACTAAATCTTATTAAAATTAATAACTTATTTAAAATGGCTAAAATAATTGTAATTATTGTATTATTTGTAGAATTATCTAATCACAGGATTGAATCAAATACATTTATGCTACATAAAGCTCACAATGCATTCAACAATAGGTATTTATACATGTTAATTGATAATTTGATTACAATTACTTAATTAAAAATAATGTCATTTATAATAAGTATAAATATTGAAAATTATCAATATTGTAAAATATGTAAAATAAATAATGTTTATTAAATTTACAAATTATAATATATAACGTTATCTTTAGTAATTTCACACGCTATGAGTTTAGTAAACAACATTTACTTACTAATCAAATAGTTTGTTTGACCATGTGCTGAATTTCTATAATACCAATTATATAGTGAATATAAAGAGTCAAAAGTTATGGACGCGACTCAATTCCGAGCGGCGGGTATACAACTCATCCATTATATCGCAGATTATTTTGAGAATATTCGTGAGAGACCTGTATTTCCGTCAGTAAAACCCGGATATATCAAGCAATACATACCCGAAACAGCCCCTGAAAGTGGGGAGCCGTGGAGTGCTATATTCGCTGATATCGACAGAGTTATAATGCCAGGAGTGAGTCGATATTGTTTTTGCTTATTTGACCCGTTTATTATAAATTCTAATATAACGCTAGATATAATCTATTAATTTATTGAATATATTCAATTTTAAACTTTAATATAAAGCTGCCCAACATGTTTTAGCAAGTAGATTGTTGTATATAATAGATTTTTCACATTCAATCACATTTTAATATCAGTACTACAGACAATGATGATCATTGTTATTGACAATATAAAGTCTTTACAATATACAATTTACTTATTGTTATTCAATAATATAGTTTCAGAGATTATTATAACGTTAAATAAAAATTAATTCATCATTCATCAAAATATTTGCTGTTCACTTTGGTATCCATGAGTTATTATATTTAATTCTGTATTATATTCTTTTCTCATTTGTCACATGAATATTAAATATTTCTAACTAGGGGCCCGTAAGACTTGTCCGAGGTATTTTTGGATAAAACCAAATTAATATGGTAGATTATGTCACCAAATATAAACTGGTGCAAAATTAAGGGCTGATAGCCAGAACCTACCATATTCTACCATATTAATTTGGTTTTATCCAAAAATACCTCGGACAAGTTATACGGGCCCCTAGTAAGTGTACAATAGAATAATTCATAGAATGTAATTACTATACTATTTTCAATTTAACGTTTATGTGACACTATTTACGGGCTAATAAAATAAATTGTACTTTTAATAGAAAAGTGAAAATTAGAATCAAAAATAAATAAAATTAGAAGTATTTTTTTTGTAAATTTATAAATACTTTATATAATATTATATAGTGTTTAAGCAATTGCTTTAATAATTTGATTTCATCTAGATCACACACTGGCAGTCACCCCACTTTCACGCATACTTTCCGATTCTCACATCGTTTCCATCAATCTGTGCGGATATTGTGTCCAGTGCTTTGAGTGTAATCGCAATTTCATGGGTTAGCGCAAACACACCGACTTTGTTACCAATTTAATTCACATATTAGCCCTGCTATAAGTTCTCTCAATGAACAATCTTTTTGGTGAACTACTGTTTTTATTATAATTATTATTTATTTCTAACCACAATTCATATAAGACAAATGTGATATATAGGATCGGTTGGTCATCCACTTCCTTTTATAGAATTTAACGTGGGATTCCTATGACATAGATTTTACATGAGTAATGCTACTAATATGGATAATATTAAGTACTGTATATGTAAATAACATTATTCCTTGTGCTAGCATTCTATTGAAAACCCCAAATTAAAGTTATTATCATATGATTATTGTTTAACGCACAGCGACCCAGGGGGAAAATTCATCCCCCTCCATTAAATTGAGGGATGTGACAAATAATGATAAAGTCATGCCCAAATTTTAATCCCTAGTTTTGGAATCGATGGTAATTTTTGACTCACCTTGATAAATTTGACTTTTAATCAATCAAGACATTGTAAAATTATTGATCAGCCAATACTCATAAGTAGTATAAAAATAATTGTAACATGAATTTTAATTGGCCCACTTGTTACAAGTAAGCCAATTAGACGTGGGTTAATATATTAATTATAATAAAAACATATTGGTCACAACATGTTGGTAAAAACATTACGAACAGACTGATGCTAATAAATCATAGCAGGGTTTTAACATAATTTATATATAATTTAGTTAAAAATTAGAGAAACTAAACCGAGAGAGAGAGAGAGAGAGAGAGGGGGGGAGAGAGAGAGAGAGAGAGAGAGAGAGAG